CTATATTGACTTTAAATTAAAAATAAATTTTATGAAACATAACACAATAGAGATTCGATGACTAAGTGATCACGCAGCACTTACCCTAAAGAATGAAACAATTAAAATCCCATCAGTCTTGATAACGTTTTGTACCGTGATGCTAGACTTCCTGTTGCTTTGACCTCTCTCCTTCCGGCATCCTGTCCGTGGACAGAAATGACACCACAAAGGTTTCCTGTGCCTGTCCTCTCCACTTCTGACCCCTCACTACATCCTCTTTCCATCTATTTGGAGAGCAATGATTTGGTTCCTGTGGAATTCCTCCCAGTTCATATAGTTGATGACACTTGTTGCTAATTTGGGATGCCAACAATGCAGGCCAAAGCCAGGGCTGAGCTCACACCAGCCCTTAGCCTCCTACGCCACTAGCATACTGGCAAATTGGAAATGCAATATTCCTAGCTATTCTTGGTCATAATTTGTTGTGCAATCTCTTCTCACTTCAGCCTTCCTGAGTATCCTGGATATCTGAAATAAATTCATATCTTAAACTCTTTCAGATACTTTCTTTGTGCCCATTCATTTTGAAAACACCTTCTTGAAGTATCATAAATCAGTGTCCTTCTGTGCAACTGTATGAAGGATTCTCTGGACAAAGCCTGAGGTCAAAGGACTCCAAGTCTGGGACCAAGGAGTTACCATCTTGCTCTTTTCCCTGTGCCATTAGAGCCTTCCTTTTCTTCCCTGAGCATCTCATGTCTGTAGAATTGAGATTTCAGCCCATTGCATAACAGCCAACAGCCATGCTTAATGCTGTGGTCTGCAGAGCATTCAATACGTTGTTGCAAGTCAGAAGATATTAAATAGGAGTCGTGATCATAGAATAATAATTAGAAGAAGATGAGTCCTGTTGCCTTCATGGTACTCTCTTCTCCATGATTTAGCAGCTGATGGGCTTGGGAAGCCAGGCCAGGTACAGAAATGGGGCTCCAGGCTGTGGCATCAAGGTGCTGTTGCTGTCTGCATGCCTTCCCTGTGCCTCCTGGTTCCAAGCCCTGTGCTGTCTGCCTACTGGGCAGTGTGGATACCCACAGATGCCCCCCTGATGCTCCAGACACACAACTGGAATTTCCTCCCAAATTTCACATGTTGGGTTCACATTTTCATCCTCTTCCTCCTTAAGGTGAAATCTCCCATTTTTTTCCCCTCTACTAAGAGACCCTACTAACTTACTTTATCTGAATCCACACCTGAACATGATCACTTGCCTATAAGAAGCCAAAAATTAATTACTGGCCTTGCCCAAATCTGCATATCCAGAACCTAGAAATGCTAGAAATGTTTTGCAAAGTGCCTGGCACAGAGAAGGCATGGACAGTGTTGGCTTGCTGAAGGAAGGGAAGAAGAAACAGACAGGAGATGGAGCAGGAAAGAGGAAGAGAGAAACATTCTAAAAACCAGAGACATCCTAATGTTAAGTCTTCCTTGGGTCATTCCAAGCCTTTCAAAGTGACCTAAATCTGAGAAAAAACTATCATTTTACCACCTTGTTATGTGCTTTTATGAGCACTATCAGAGATGGAGATGCCAGGAAGAACAGATTGACAAGAGCAGCAACAATAGCAGCAGCTAAGAGCTGTGAGAACTTTGTGGAAGTCACTTTGTAAACCTTTGGCATGTATGAACTCACTGAATTTCCAAAACAATGCCATGGATGTAGTGCGTAATACTGTTATTCCTATTTGATAGGTGAGCAGACAGAATTTAGAGAGATTGAGTAACATAACAGGTAGGAAGCTGGAGGGGGTGGTGTTGAATTAGATGTCGCATTTATTTAGGGATTTCTTCAGGTCTTCTCTGAAGGTTCTATGACCTTTCTCCATGATTCCAGGTTTTCAGAATGTGAGGAAGGAAGGCTCAGTGTCCTCTTTCCCTGCTGTTTCAACTTGAATGCTTTATGCTTTGATACCCTAAATTCTCTTTGTAACTCCACTTCTGTCAGGATACCTGTCTCCCTAATCCCACAGTCTCCTGAAACAACCAGGTTCCTTCCCTGTATCATCTCCTCATCTTTCAGTTGGGGGGGTGGTGACAACAGTTCAGTCTCTTTCAGTTGGGTGCCATCAAGGCTTTTCTGAGTCGCTGCTATGGAGACAAAGCACAGGTACCATTTCCATTTGCCACCAATTGCTATTAAAAGACAGGCACGGGATGGGAGCCCAAGATGTTCAGTGAATCAACCTGGAACTTACCCCTTTTTGAAAATTCTAATAGAGGGTAATTCATGCATGTTTGCTGGTGAGCCATCTGCCTCAGGGACCGAGCACAGGTTAGATAATTAAACTCAACCTGTTCTTGCATGGCTGTCTGACTTACCATTTACCTCATTTCAGACTACTTGCCTCCAAAAACCCACTCTCCAAACTGGTTACCTCATTGTTCCCCCAAAACACCTGTCTTGCCTTCTTATTTTTCCTCATGCCATCCCATCCACCTGGAATGCCCTTACTTTACTCTCCCTCTCCAGATCCTTATCATTTGCTTCACAATATGTTCCCCAATCACCCTGCTCACAATGATCAGTCTCTCCCTTGAATTCCAATGGTAGCAAATTCTATATAATTTGTCTGGTAATTAATCATGTGCTGCCTTACAAGATTCTATTGTTACCTTAAACTGTTATTTAAATCTTTAATTTTAACATAACTGTTTCCATATGTTTGTCTTGTTTCCTTAATTGGAATATAAGATCTTCAAAGGCAGGAGATATATTATATAATTGTATCCCCCTTAGGACCTGGTATGGGGCTGATTTGTTCATTTTTCTTTTTTCTTTTTCCTTTTCTTTGGCAACTGGACAGCTAAAATTATAAAATTTCAGCCAATGACTTTGGTAATTATAGATCAATAATAGTTAAACATGCATGGGTGATTCGAGAATGTGAGACACGTTTTAACCCAGAGAATTAAGGAATGAGCAGGGACAAGAGGACTTTTAGGAGTCCACTGGCCGGAACTCTTTCAGAGAGCTTTCATTCTGCTCCCATTTCTTCCAAATGAAGACATATTATTCTAGAAAAATGCCTCCATGATTCTTCCCTTGTCTCTCTTTTTCTCTTCCCCATCCCTTCCACCTTGCAACATGCATACTTTATTTCTTCTCTTTTCCTGTTATCTTGACTCCTCATAAAGACATGCCCTAGTGCTTTTACTGTAGCTGTGACATTTTCCTCTGCTACTCAAGGCCAAGGACTTTGAACCCTCATTGCACAGAGAAATAATTTAAAAGACCTTAATGAAATTAGTATATGTGATACACAGCCTCTATGATGACCACTAAGAACCCTAGACCTCTAATATACACACCCCTGTAGAGCCACCTCCCTTGAGTGTGGGCTGGAACCAGTGACATGTTATTAACAATTGGAACACTGAAAACGTGATAGTATGGTACTTTCCAGGTAAGGTTACAAAGAAACTTTGGTTTCTGTCTTTCTTGCCTTCTCCGTCCTTTTTCTCTGAGTCTTCCCTCTAGGGGAAGTTCCTCTCAGGGACAACAACTGATATGTTGTGAACAGCCCCAGGAAGAGACTCATGAGGCAAGGAACTGCCAGTCCAAGGACCCTGAGGTCAGATGTAGGAATAAGCTGGGAAGCAGATTCTCCCCAGCTAGGTCCTCACAGCCCTGGCCAACACTTCATGGTAGACCCTGAGCCAGAGAACTGAACTAAGCCACTGAGATTCCTAACCCATTCTAGCTGTGAGATTGAAAACATTTGCTGTTTTAAGCCACCAAGTTTTCAGGTAATTTGGTATGCAGAAATAGATAACCAATACAGTATTTAATTATGGCTAACCATTCAGAAAATAGCCAGGATCAACCAAATGCCTCTAATGATGTTTATAGCATTTTCTTTTTGTAAGCCTGAAAAACATAGACGGTTCATTTCAGATACAATAATTGAGCTGATACTCAGGGGTTGCTCCAGTTGCTCCATCTCCTATTGTCCATCTTTGCTCACCGTGAGACTAGCTGATGATTAGCAATAGATCCAGAGCCAGGCCAAGATTTAACAGCTGGATAAATGTCTGATGAAATAAGCAGTGTGGAACAAGTCACTTAGCCTGCTCCAATTCTCAAGATGATCAGGGGAAACTGGTATCCGCAGTAGCTTAGTCTCCAAATTTCAGCAAAATTCTAGTAATTACCCAGGAAAGAACTAAGCTTTTATTTCCCTATTTGAGATTGTACCTTCCCTAGTCAGGATAAATCTCACTTGTTTAATGGGCAAACTGGGATCAGCAAACCATAACTCATAGGCCAAATCTATACCACTGCCTGTAAATAAGGTTTTATTGGGACATGGCCACCCCCATCTTTAGATATATCTGTGGCTGCCTTTGTATAGGAAGGACAAAATTGAGGAGCTGCAACAGAGCCAGTGAAATCCACAAAGGATAAATTTTGTAACATCTGACCCTTTGCAGAGAAAAAAAAAAATGTGTTATCCCCTGCTCTAAGACAGTGAATTGCGGACTGTACTTCAAGGAGCACTGCTTCTACCAAATGTCAATAAATATTACACTGGAAAAAAACAGCTTCTGTGACCAAATGTTTGGGAAATTCTGGGTCAAACAAAGTTAAACAAGTTGTTTGCTGCAGAACTTCTCTGAGATCTTATTAAATCTCCAAAAGGAGGATGTGGAATGCTGCAGATTTTATAAATTTTTTGACCATGAAACTCTTCATTTCAGAGAGCATCCCAAGAGACTAGCGTCCAGTTCCCTGGGAAATGCTATTCTAGTTCTATGAAAGCAGCAGTTTTCAAAGCATTAACTATGCAAAATATGGAGTAGACATAAGTATCACCAATTTTTGACTTTTAAAAACATCCACAACAATTTGAATATACGCAAGGAAATGGCTTTACTGATCATGAGCCCCATACACAACTGACATTTGCAAAGTCAGATAAATACAAAGTTACTTGCTAGTAGCAGTATATCTAGAGCCAGCCATACTCCAAAAAAATCTTAAATTGGAAAGAGAACAACCTGATATTTTACTTCAGTAGATCTCAAATTTCTACCACAGAGTTGCTGCCATATTTCATGCCATAAGGTCTCTACCTGGGAAGAAAGAGGATCTATGTTTTAACGACCAATTTGGAAAAAATATGGGTTTTGCTGCTAAAATTTACCAGTCCAATCTTTGTTCTGGAAATCAGGAACAAATTTCTAGAAGGCCAAAAAGATCATGGTCACAGGTAGTCAGCCATGGACCCACGGCCAAGGTTCAGACACATGTTGTGACTTTTTCCTCACACCGCACTCTCTTGCTTCTTCTGACCTATGGGACACATTTCCTGGATGACTGTCCAGGCTAGGGGTCTAGCCCATAAGCCTGGGAAACTGCTAGCTTTCTCACAACCTCAGTCTGAATCAGCACAGGGTAGGGGAAACAACACCAGAAAGCGTTTGGTGAGATCAAATGAAGACAATAAATTACAAACCAGGACACTAATATAACAGGATGGAGAGCGAGGTGCTTCCTATTGTCCCAGAACCATGGTCAAAGTCCAAAGGTGAGCTCGAGTTGTTGGTGATAAGCATGTCTCCATAAGGTTTACTAGCGGCTCTACCTCTGAACTGTCTCCAATGAAATCCAGAAAATAATTGAGTTGAGGATGGGAGAGTGCTTGCTAATAGCAGGCTCCATTTTTGCACAAGCAGCCACATTCAAAAAAACCTTAAAGTTGAAAGGAAACCAAGCTGATATTTTACTTCATTCGGTCTTTGGTGAAGTGCATGCTAGTGAAGAAAGTCTCTTCTTTCATGTGTTTGTAGTTGTGGGTGGTGGTGGTGCCTCTCTCTCCTCCAAACCAAGGAAGTCAGTCTCCAAGGCAATCGTGAGTAGATGCTGAAGGTGACTCTAAGAGAGGTAGACTGGCTGGTTACATGCTAAACTGCAGCTTTTGAGGTCTTCTCTGATGTACAGGAATGGGGCATTGAGAGAGCATACTAGGAAATGAGGGGAATGGCACACTATCCTTTTTATTTCCTGATGCCTGCTAAGGTGAGAGGAGAGAAGGGTGTGTATTTGATATACATCACCTTCAGTTTTGGGAAGGTGCATGTTTGAGTAGAGACCACAGATTCCTGAAGGTAGTTTGCTCTAAGTCAGTAGCCCAAGTCATCCGTGGCTCATCACGCAACATACTTGGAAATGAGATTTGGTCAGCCCCATCCCATCTCATGTTCTGTGGACCTGGAAAATACAAAAGAGGATTCTGGTGGTTCCCATAGCTCCATGGGAAGCAACATGGCAACTGATAGGATGATAAGAGCCATAGAACCATTCAGGATAGCCACTGGACCAAGCAATGGGAAACCCAACACCGACAAGGAGTTAGAGATGTTTCTCATTGCTCAAGGCCAAGATACAACTGCCCACTCCAGTGAAGGTGGGAGTTCCCAGTGATAGAGGGGGCTGAGATGAAGTAAATGCTGTCCCTCAAACAGACCACTTGTATGGAAATTGCCAATGAACTGAGAACACCAACCTCAGAGAGGACTGGCCTGGAGAAAAGCTTGACCAGGACAACTTCTTCCCACCACACACAAGTCCATCTGTTTCTCATCTGCTGACCATGCCATGATGGGCCAGAATAGGATCCAGAAGCCTTCTGAAGTCTGAAGAGAGGAGTACAAAGAGAGAAGGAAACATGTAAGTACGTGGAGAACAAACCACGAGCCTTCAAGCCACTGTAGTCATAGACGGGGGGAGTCAATACTTGGGGGAGAGGACCCAAGCTCTGAATCTGATTTGAGACTGAAGTATCAAAATACATGGGACTGAGTCCTAAATAAGAAAGAGAACTGTCCTAATAACCAAAAGTGACAAGAATATTAGAGGAGCAAGCCGAATTGCCTTTAAGGAAGTTACTTCCCAGCAGGAAAGGTGGGTCAACATTTCCTCGTTGGAGGGGCTGTCATTGGATAAGTGTAAAACTGTTTCATTTTTATACCCCTAACATGTTGAGACTCCCTAATAAATTTGTTACATAAGGTAAACACTTTGGACAGAACTTTAATGCTTTCATATTCTTAACGCTTTTCTTCCAAGGGATTCTGAAGGCAACATGCCAATATTTTCCCCATTCTGCAAATTAGCACACAGAGAGGGTGGTGTTGGTTATCAAAGGGACTCAATCTATCTACAGCCTTCTGTCTCATACTCATATCATGAGGCAGCTCACTCCCCCTCAGACCCAAATGTGATCTGTTTTTAATTGGGAACAGAACTTTTCAATTCTTGAGCCCAAAACAAATTAAAAAGTAGAATAAGGAGGAGAGGAAGGAAAAGAAAAAGGTTTGTTTTTCCCCTAATTTGAGAATCTGTGATTTCTCACTGGTTTTATCAGTACCAAGATTTTTTTTTGTTTTGTTTTGTTTTGTGAGTTTTTTTTTTTAATGGTTTTCTCTCTCTCTCTCTCTCTTTTTTTTTTTTTTTCGCAGTTCTCTATTCAAGACTAAATTTATCTGCTTTAAAAAATCCATCTGGCTTTTGTGTTATGGAAGCCCACACAAGCCTGCACCAACCGTTCTAGAAGCAACAAAGAGTTATCAAATGGAGTGAGTTTCAAATGAAGGGACAGCAAGTTAATTAAGGCCTGAGTTTCTTAATAAGGAATGAAGCACAGTAGAGACTCGAGTGATGCCAAAACACATGAAAGTTTCAAAGACTAAAACAGTTTGTGAGGAAGAAAAAAAGAAGTGGCTTGGCCAATGTTTTAGGTCCTACCCCCAAAATAAACACATCTATTCCCATTTGTATCAACAGACAAATGTAAACATCACTCAAAGAATCTCAAACTAACATTAACATGAGAATGAAATATAAATAATTCTGAACATAAAGCCCAAGTATAAAATATACCAAAATGTAAATATAATAAAACTAGGAATAGCAACATTACATTACATTTATTGTTGAGAGATTGTCACTGGTTTTCTTCAGAAACTTCAGGCAGATTTTCCTCTTCTATACTATTCTTGGCAAAGTTTAATTTTCTTTTAACCAATGAACAATGTACAATAAAGTGAAAGCTTTCTGCAAAAAAAAAAAAACAAACAAACCATTTTGTTCAAGTGATCCTAGTGCTCATGAAATGCATTGTTATTAGGCTTTATTTTTAATATTTTATACAGTGTTAATGGGCAAGAAAAATGGGGGAAAGCTCTTAGGAAAGATCAATATATTTCTAAGTTATTAGAAAGCTTGTAGATTTAAAATGTCCCTAATATATTCCTGCTATACTGGCATGATCTAGGGAGAGGCCCTACTAAACTAAGACTTATGGGATCTGAAAGCTCATTTCAATCCTGCCTCAGATGTTTTTGGGGAGATGCTTTAGCACATGGTACCTCAGTTCACTCCCCAGAACAAGAAAGCTGTTGATAGCCACAGCAAATCCTGCATGCCTCTAGGAAATGAATTAACAATCCATGTGTGAAATGTTTCTTTGAATTTTGTAATGAAATGGCATCTTATAATTGTATGATATGGCAAAGTGAAATCAGGGTGTGGTTGTGTTGAAACATTTCTGTTTCTTTGGCTAAACGAGAGATAAACAAGCAACTTTTTCTGAAAGCAGACTTCCTTGGGGGAAAATCAAATTGTTGCAAATTATAGAAAGGGAGAGAAGACAGAGAGATGGATGGAGAATTTTGAGGAGGGCATAGACCAGACAGGCTCAAAAAGCTCAGTTACCATCCTGTTAAAATATAACCCACAAAATGTTACACCATAGCATTCTTCACAGCCATCTGCTTCTGCCATCAACTTTGAGTCCCACAAACAGATTTCAAAAGTTGAATCTGGCCCTCAGTGAGTTTAGGAACATTCAGCAAGACTATCTGTATGTGATCAGAAAATTCACCAACTCTCTATTCCTGTCTCCAGAAACAATCTATCTCTCCTCCTTTCCAATTCAGGCATAACACGGTCTTGTAATTCCTTGTATCTTTTCACATCCTTCACAGGGCCTAGCAGAATATTTAAATATGGTTTGCACTCCCATCCTTTTCTCTCCATCTCCACTTCCACCCCTGCCCCCAGGCCTACTGCTTCAGTCATCTTTCCTCCACTGGATGACTGCAAAAGCCTCCTACTGGTTTCCTGTCCTCCACTCTAATCTCTTTCCCACAGCCACAGTGAACTTTGTCCAAAGGAAATCAGATTGCATACTCCCATGCTTAAAACCTTCCAAAGGTTTTACATTGCAATCTGAAAAAAAAAAAAAAAAAAATCTAACTCCATGTAATAGCTGCCAAGACTCTATATGTCAGTTAATGTCAGTTAGTCATCGCTGCATAACAAACCACCCCAAACTCCGTGGCATAAAGCCACAACAATCATTTATTTCTTATGTATCTGTTTACCTGGTATAGGCTGGACGTGGGCTTATGCACATATCTGTGGGTTGGCTGGGGTCTGTTTCACATATTTCTCCTTCTCCTACCTGCAGACCATATGCTAATAAAAAACCAGTCTGTTAATGAGGATCTTTTTTTTTTTAACCATATTGACAGGCAAGCATGATCTGGGAGTGGATTTACCCACTAGACATAGCAAGCACAGTGACTAGGTCCTGCAACACTTTTGGGAGTCCAGATAATTGCTTTAATTTTTTTAAAACCAGGAGGAAACTTGAATACAATAATAATGAATATCTACAAATAAATACACTGAAATATTTGACTTTATACCAATGCAGTTATAAAATAATATTTCCGAATTTTTTTATGGAGGAAGTAGCCTGGAAAGGTAAAAATGCTAAGGACCACAAAGCTCATCATGCAGCCTTGCACAATCATAGTTAATCAAACTTGAGGCTAGAAAACTAATTGTTGGTTCTCTGTTCTCTTACTTAAGTAACCCATGGAACATGAAATGTCAGTTTCCTCCCTGTAATAACAGGGAGCTAACTGGCAAGAGATTCACCTATCCTCTTTAAAAATATGGCACCCCAAACACCAGTTGATTCCTCCTTATAGTCATTAATTTGCTCTACCCTAGAACTCTTGTCTGATTTTGCTTTTTATGAGAGACACAATTTTAAAACAGTATTGTTCTAGGTCTGTCATTGCCACCCTGGGTCATAATATAAAGGAACAATACAAAGAGTTGCTTTAGTCCTTTGCAAAGAACACAGGAAGACTCTGTTCTCCAGTTTATACCATTTTCCAGGAGTCCTTTTACATTTTAATTATACAGAAGTCCCATTCATATTATCAATTCTATTGAGTTTATAGGAATCTAATGCTGGCCAAATATCATGAAACTCAGAGGGAACATAAAACATGGAAGTTACTGTTTGAAGAAGAGAAGCAAAATAATTCTTCCCCTGTAAAGATAATTTGTTTCAGGACAAAAGTAAGAACTTTCTTTATCTTGAATAGTCTTGTCATTCCCACAAGAATAAATGTGCTTAGTGACCATCTATATATATATAGTTATTCCATCCATTTTAAAAGAAGCCGTGTAATTTTTTTTAGATCACGGTACATCATATATTCTATTGTTAACTGTGTCCTCGTGAAACTCTAAATTAACTTTATAATCTTTAAAGTATTTTGATATAATTCTTTGCTTTTTTAATAGGTAGTTAATTTCCTGTTTCCATGTAACCCTTGATGACTCTGTGAAAGTTTGGATTACTTTTCCTCTCTGGTTCTCAAACCACAAATGGGAAAAACTGCAATCCTTCAGTGGCCACATCAGCTACCTAAATATTTTCACAGATTCTAAGATATGTTTCCTTGCTGAACTGGGAGAGAAACCTTCATGGCATTTTACCCTCCCGAATGTAAAATTAATTTAATCTTATCTTTGTTTACATATACTTCTTGGTAACCAGCAGTCCTAATATACCTCCATGGACTCCATAACAACGTGACTCTTCATGCGCTCCACTTTTGGGGGGTCCATATGTCTTATGCCCCATGAATTGGAGAAAACATTTCTTCTTCCCTGACTCTGAATCTCATGCCCACAATTTCTTAAGCTTGGGCCAGTCATCTATTCATCCCTTCATCATACTTCTGAGCATGACACTGAGACACATCTTCAAGTAATACACAGGGAGATTTTGGAATGCTGAAGCATCTCCTCTGTGTCATCGAGTCCTGGCAGGAAGCATGGGTGGCCCACTTAGGGTCACCTGTCAGGGCGACTGGTCTAAAAGAAAAAAGGAAGAACAGGCTTGACTCTCGGCAAGACAGCCTCTTTCTCCCAGCTGTCTCCTTCACTCTAAGGAAGGGGTCTCTAATTTACCTGGTGGAACTAAGATAGTGGTTGTCAAAGGACAGGCCCTGAGCCAACAGCAGTAGCATCACCCGGAAACTCATTAGAAATGCAAATTACTGGGTTCCACTCCAGACTCCCCAAACTGGAAACTCTGAGGTGGCACCCACCAAACTGTGTTTTAACAACCCTTTCAAGCAATTCAAGTTTGAGAATCACTTGACTAGGGTATTTTTTATTAAAACTGAAAGTCGAACCCACAGATTTTTCATTTGGCTCCACCAAGGCCTTATTCAAATCTATGCTTCATGGTCCCTATTAGATAGTGCTGTTGCAGGTGCTCACTGCTACCTCTGCATCCCCGGGGCACAGGTAGTGCCAAAAAAAGATCCTTGTAAGAAGCATCCAAAGGCGGCTTCAGTAGCCTTCTGTGTTTCCACTCAGCACTTCTATCCTTCAGATCCCCCTCATGTGTTTATGCTGTGCTCACAAACAACCCCCAAATCTCAGTAGTTTAAAAACACAGGGATTATTATCAGTCATACCACAGTGTGAATCAGTAGGACGAGGAAAGCTCTGTCAATCATGGTGATCCCCTCTGTGGGACCCAAGCTGGTACCAACTCAGATCTTGCCTGTAAATGTGGCAAAGGAAAACAGTATGGCAAGGTACAGACTGGCTCGTCAAGCTTCTGTTCAGAAGTGACACACAACACTTCCTCTCTCATGCCATTGGCCAAAGCAGGTAACATAACTATGTCTGGTCTCAATGGGGCCCTAAAGCTGAATCTTTCCCCAAGGAGAAGAAGTGGCTATTGCCAAACAATACTGCAATCTCGCTCTATCCTCCAAAGGGCTATAGCACCAATGTAGAATTTCAGACTCCATGCTGGACAATGGAAAACCATGTGTTTGTTTGTTTGTGTGTGTGTGTGTGTGTGCATGTATGCACATGTGTGTGATGTTGAATGGATCCAGGATGAAGAGGGAGTCTCTGGGAAACCTAATTCCTGTTAGCTCTCAAGCATAGTCATCGGGCCGATTTCACAGAGGACAAAAAACAGTCACATTGACAGAATGCCAACTAAGTGCTGGGTACTATGCCAGACCTTTTCCACTCATATTCTCTCTCAAGCTTCACGGAAACATTATGTAGGAGAGAAAGGAACTAACCTTGTTCAAAGAAGCCAAGGCCCAAAGCCATTTAGTAACTTTTCTGTAGTGACAGAGGATGGGATAGTATTAGGATACTAAGTTCATGGGAACCCTCAAAGCTGGATCTGCTCCCAGGACAATACAGGGCTGAAGAGGAGACATCTCTCTACCAGGTAACAAAGAGAATCACTGATTCTTCCGCTGACCTCCGTGTTTCTGGTGATCCCTACTGGTGCAAAATTGGCCTCTAGTCATGGTGTACAGATCAGTCTGAGCCCAGTGTGATGATTACAGGTTTAAAATCCCAAATTCAAATCCAAAATCTGAAGTTACCCAAAATCGGAAGTTATCCAAAATTTGAAACCTTTCTTTTTCTTTAGAGACAAGTCCTCACTCTGTTGCCCAGGCTGGAGTACAGTATGGTGTGATCAAAGCTCATTGCAGCCTTATACTCCTTGGTCCAAGTAATCCTCCTGCCCCAGCCTCCCAAGTAGCTAGGATTACAGGTGCATGTCACCACATCCAACTAACTTTTAAATTTTTTGTAGAGATGAAGTCTGCTGTGTTGCCTCGGCTGATCTTGAACCCTGATATCAGGCAATCCTTCTGCCTTGGCCTCTCAAAGTGCTGGGATTATGGGTGTGAGTCACAGCA